CTGCTGGAACAAACCAAGCAAGGCTCAACTTCTTAAACAAGGAAGATGTTTCTAAGAGAAACCATGACATAGCTTTGGTATTTTAGAGCATCATTTACAAAGTTTTTCCTTTTTTACAAAGAGTCTCCACTCTACTTGCGCTAGTAGGTTTCGAATGGATTTATATCCGTCTGGGTAGATAGGCATTAACCAATTTTACAGGTGCAGCGTACCTCGTGATAGTGTGAAGATAAAGGAGCATTTACCAAAGCAAAGACAATGATCTGGCATCAGTTGAAATATGTTATGTACAAGCAGTTTTGCATACAGGCATAAGTGTTCAGGGAAACAGCTTGTATTTTTCTAAAATTTAGAATTTTGGTCATACAGTTTAACTTTTTTTCATGTTCTGGAACGCCTTTGTCATGACAGCAGTGAGCAGGGTGCCAGGTACCTCATTGCTGAGTTTTGCAGAGGTGTGGACAGCATGACCTTCTCACAGCCTTGTAAGAAGAGCTTGGTCCTGTAGGTGTGCTCTGAGGCAGCCCTGAGCCTGTTAAAAATTAGTTTTCACACAGGTGCACTGCAGAAGTTGTTTAAGCAGATGGGAGATGTTGGCTTTCATTCTCCTTTAGTACTGCAGCACAGGGTACACAGCACCTGCAAAGGCTTAAACTTGCCTCCTCCCTCGTCTGAGCAGACTGAGACCCATGTTTTCTGCAGTCGCGCTTTGCCTCATACCTGTTGGAAGCTTTGCTGGGGAAAGGGATGTCGTCTGTCTGTCCTGGAATGTTTCTACTTTAAAATCAAAAAATATATGGGCAATTTTCGAAGTCCTTATTTATGAAGGAAGAATCAAGGTCTCTGCAGTGTGGCCATTTTATATTTTGAAACTAATGATGATTTAACACAAAAAACTGTTGTCACTGGTTCGTCGAGGACTGAAGCATGGGTCTGTTCCTCTGGATGAATGCTTTTGTCAGGTGGTTAAAGAGGATTATTCATCCTGTGATTTCCTTCTAAACCTAGGTAAATAATTTCTTTTTTTAGATGAAAACTGAAGGAGCTAGTGTGGTTCAAATAGAAGTATTCTGATAGCTTGGAAATATTGCAGAAGCCGGACAGAAGTTGAGACATGTTCCCAGTCTTAAACATACCCTGTTAATTAGTAGTGAAGGTTTTCTTCTTCATAGGGCCCCTCCTTCATATATAGGCCTTACTGCCCCATCCTTCCAAATATTATATAAGGCACGTGGCTTATGGCTGTGAAGGATTCTAGCTGTTACATCAAATTATTTTCATGAATGTGAAAAGAGTTCATAGGCTTAACTGGTCTAAACTTTAGCAAGCGTTTCTTAATTCACTGGCCGCAGAAGGGCAATGTTATGCTACGTTTTGATAGTACTTTATCCTTAGCAGATCCTTTTCTTATTGAGGTGATTTTTGAAAAGTTGATTAAAGCAGCTTTGGGAGCAGATCACGCTAGAGCAATGGTGCAAAGCAGAATAATCTCCTACACCGGGGAAGCTGAACCATTTTATTTTAAGACAGGTAATAGTGAGCTTTAATATAGTCTTAATTATTTTGCCATAGCCAGTAAAGACTATTCTCACACTAGTTAAAATTCTCTGCAATGGCAGCCTGCTGGCCACACTCTCGTTGAGCTGTGGCAATGCAAGGTATGTAACATGACCGCATTCACCATTGATATCACTGATCTTTTCTTTCTCTTTCTAAGGAAGATTGCCAGGCAGAGTCCAAATTCTCGAGGGGTCCTTGAAATCTGCTTCATAAGCAAAAATTTGAATTTACTTGACAGTATAAGATGAAGTGGTAAAGGAAGAAAACCCCAAACAAAAAAGAATTTTTAACATTAAAGCAGTGAATTAAGTTTGCTAAAAAGCAAATTACAATTTTGGGGAGTGTTTCAGCTCTTCGTAAAGTGCATCATTCCTTTGAATGAAATTGTTTCTGTGTATGCTATTTCAAGATATTGTACATAGAAAACTGTAAAGTAGATCGCACGCAAATGCTCAGCAGTGTTTCCGGGCTGGCTGTCATAGTGCCGGTGTTATTGTTCACACGTTAATTCTTTCACACTCTAGATTCCATGTGCAGCTTTCTGCCCAAGGCGTATCTCGGTAAGAAAAGGACAAATGCTGCATTTTTAATTAATACATTCACATAAATTGAGAGGGTCAGTTGAACGATTGTTCATAACATTGATGTGATTAATCCCACTGAAGACATGAAAGCACAAGCAAAGGCTTTATTCTTTCTGAGTTTCAGTAAGTTATTTTAGCTAACACCTTCTAGAGAAAGCAGACACTGAGTCCAAGAACATAAAAGTGACTGTTTAAATAGATCCCTCTATAGCCTGTCATCTTGCTGGTGCCAAGTGCCAACACAGAGGCTCAGAAGAAAAGTTCGGAACAGAGGAAATGTCAGGCGTTTACCCTGTGATATGTGTTCCCATGTCCAGCAGCTTAGCAAACCCCTGAGAAGGAGCTTCATCTGCATTGCTGTGTTTGTGAACTTTGACAATTTGTGTCTTTTTAGTCAGTTGGCTGTCATCATTCAAAACATCCTGTTGCAATGAATTCCACTGTTAAATGGCATATCATATAAAAAAGTACTTTCATGTGTTTATTTTAGATCTAACACTGAATAACTCCACTGGGTCCACAGTCTTTATGTTACAGTTCTTGTGTTAAAGCAGTAATTAAATCCCCATTTGCCTTCTTTACACACTACATGGTTTGGGAGCTTTCTGCCATATGAGCACTTAGTTGTTTCTTTTTCAAGCTACTCTATTTACTCTCTCAGAAATTACAGAAATTACTTTATTATTCTGATAGCCTATGTTGCTTTTCTCTGTGTCTTGCCCTGTTCTACAGTATTTTTTTGAGAGAGTGTAATTGGGACAATATACACCTTTTAGCTGCTCTCACTGATGCAGACACTCCTGAGTAACACTGCAGTGTTTTGTCTTCCTTCTCACAAGCTTTTTTTCTGACTTTCTTGTTAATGCTAATGTTTTAAATTTTCAAATAACATATTAGATTTTTCAGAAAGCTCTTTTAAAAAGTATTATCATCATGTAAAGGTGATAGAAAGAACAGAAATTCAGTGACAGGCAGGTGTGTATGAGTGGGTTTACTTATAGATCAGCTTGCCACGTAATGAACAGAGTTTGGTGTATAATCTTTTTGAGCTATTCAGGATTATAACGTAAAAGTTTCCTCAGATTCAGTCCGGTCCAGAGAATGGAGTTAAAAATCTGTGGAAATATACACAAACAGATTCTGGTCTCATTTATACTTAGGAATCCGACAGAATTTGTAGATATTGCAAATAAAGATGTTAAGTATGGTAAATTATCCAATTTTCCTTGTCTGAGATGACACGTACCATTTTGAGTGCAGCCTTGGGAAATCTTGTGTTTCAGTCTAGTCAGAAGTCATCTATTCCACAGTTGCAAAGTAAACAATTGCCATTTGAATTCTCCAGTATCCGTTTAATGTAGTGATGACTGGCATCCATTGTTGCATATATTAGTCATTGTAATAGAGTTTTGTCAGAAGATCATTTTAACATTAACTATTTTGAAAACAGATGTCTATGTTTTTCTGTGTTTATTTGAATTTAATTTTTGGCAATAGCTGCAAGACGTCATTATCTGGTAGCAACATGCTATTCAATTAACATTTCTTCTGCAATCATACTGATAATAATATATTCCATTTTTATAAATGTAAAGGTATCATGCTAGATATAGTTAAAAGTCTAGTGGTTTTGACTGTAGGTTAAACCACAGGTGATGTTTTGATCTGGCAGAAAGAGGTTCAGTATTTTTAAAGACCAAAATATTGAGGTTCCATAAACACTAAGACAAATGTAATTGTCAAAGCAATCTTTTAATAGTGATTATGGATGTAAAAAATTGATGTATCTGATATTCATCAGGGCAGACTTTTACATCTTTAATTGCTTTTCTTACAGTTTTCAGGTGTAGAAGGAATTTTTCCACTCATACTCCTCCTTTCCTTCATGGTTCTTAATTTTTCTGGATCACCACAGATCATATCAATTTACTCCTGACACAAGGCTTAAGAGCAATGTACAGTAGACCTGATTTGTAAATTGTACTGCATTGTAAATGTTTCAGAGCCCAGTGGCAAAGAAGTGGTTACAACTATTGAAGTGGTGTACCAGTGATTGGGGGCAATCATTTTGCCAGAAGGTCACTCCTGATCAAAGAAGGAATGTTTTATATTATATTCTCCTCACACTCTGTTTTTCGTTTGATTTCACTTTATTTCAAGTTTCTTTCATGCAGGGTTGAGTTGAACTGTTGTTACTGGCTCAGGAAAACTGTCCCGTAGCTTCAGTCAGATCTGTAAACTGTTGAGTACAAACCAAAACCTTTATAAAACTATTCGTGTAATATTTTGCGTTTCTGGAGGGTGCCATTAGCAACCATGAACCTTTATGTACTTAATCACAAGCAAAGTAATTAAAGCTTCACTTCTATTTACTTCTGAAATTTAGATTCTTAAGTTGTTACGTTTATTATTTCCATTTACTTTCTGTTTAGACAAGCAATCTGTGAAGTAGTCACTAGGCCAATCAAATACTCAGTGTAGGCGTGACTTGATGAGGTGAACTGGATACTGCAAGAGATCAAAGTTTATAACAAAAGACTGTTCCCTGATCTGAGGAGGTTAACTGCAGTTTTCTAGCATTTGCAGGCATTGTGACTTCTTGTTAGGGTTAAAGCCTGAACTAAGACCTTAGTTGGACGGCTTTTCTTCAGCAGTGTGTTAAATAAGATCTCACTTTTCTTCTATGTGGAAAGGTGTTACGAAACAGTGTCATCATTTACTCAGTTTAGAGAGGAGAAGGAAACTTTTGCTTTTTTATAGTGTGAAATGAATGCACAATGGATAAAATAAGTTTACAAGATTTATTCACATGAAGTTGTATGAGAGTTTCTTAATGTACTTTTTCTTTCTTTGCAGCTATTGGCTGACAAACAAGGTCCACATTAAACGACCCAGCACTGGTCTCCTCATGTATACGCTCGCCACCAGATTTTGTGATGAAATTCACCTGTATGGATTTTGGCCATTCCCGAAGGATTTACATGGAAAACCAGTCAAGTATCATTACTATGATGATCTGAAGTATCGGTACTTTTCTAATGCCAGTCCTCATAGGATGCCGTTAGAGTTTAAAACACTGTATGTATTACATAACAGAGGAGCACTTAAATTAACAACAGGGAAATGCGTACAGCAATAAAGCACATGTAAAGTACAAAAAGAAGTACAGATGACACACTTCATCGTAAAGATGTTGTGGAATGGCAATGGGATCCCAATGAGGATATATTTCAATACCCACTAAGCCATCAGAAAAAGGAATTTTATCAGAAGTACATAACCAGCTATTATACCTGTAAAGTGCTATATAACTAAGCTATCTTGACTGCAAGGGTTCAAGTAAGTGCCACTTTCACTAAGAACAAAGCTTGAATGTATACTCAGTAGTGTTTACAGGATCCAGTGACACATTCATCATGAGTTAAAGAAGAAAAATATAGCCTGCTTACTGCTGACTTGCCACTGTGGTCAGACAGCCCACACAAGAAATCCCCAGTGGATGGAATATTTTCTTGAGCAAGCAAACCAGGCTTTGGCAGAAAAGACCATGCTGGAATTGAGTAGAGAAAGTGAAGTCCTTAAGATCAAGCAAATCAGTAAATGCCTTCAGTCAGAGGACTGTTTCTGATCTTGTAGTATAACCTCAGCTTTTGTTGCTGTTTTTCTTATTGCTGTTGGTTGGGTTTTGTTGTTTTTAAGTATTGGAGCCCGTAAAGGAATTTAAGGATGTTACGAGTAATTAAAAGTGTGTATCTTATGGAGTTGTCTTAGGCAAAAAATTTGTAAGGGTGGGAGGGTGGAGGGAAACATCAAATATTTTATCAATTGTTATTGTGTTGTATCCTGCTGTCACACAACCCTTAACTTTTTTCTAGCTACTGCTGTCAATACCCACTACATGGAACCACTCAAAGGTCATTTTGATCCGTTTTTAAAGAGAAGGTATTTTGTTGTGTTCAGATTTGAAGGCATATGAGAAGGTGCCCTTATTTTTGGTACCAAAGATTACTCATACATTTTTTCCTTTCCTTGAAGAAATGGTGTAGATTGTGTATGATGTTTCTTTGCTGGTACGGGGAACATATTCTTTATGTTATTTAAATTTTTGAATTAGGCATCTCAAAGCAAAGCCTCTTTACTGACTTTACATACAGAATTTCATTCTTCAGAAAAATCTGCAGGAGTAAAGAAATAATTTCATACAATCAAGTATATATATACACACACACAATCTTTATTCCTAATTGAAAGGAAAACACAAAGTCTAAAGGAACTCAGGTGACATTGGAACACATCTGCAGAAAAAAAAGACCTAGCCCGTTAAATGGAAAAATAAAAGAACTGTAGATCAAACAGTTCTTTTAAAACTTAAATTTCTAATGGTGTTGGATGATATGTTTCTCTAATATACCTCTTTTGTATCAGCTTGATGTTCTGATGCGTAATTGACTGAAATAACAGAGCTGCATTATCTCACAGTCATTTTTGTGAGCATCATTCTTGTTTATCCACGAAGCCAAGAATTCTTTCACTCTCTCCTGTCAAAAAAGAGAACAAGAAATTACAGGAGGTTAGGAGAGAGTGGAGTGTCAGTACAGCATATACCAAGATACAAAACCTGTCTGCATATGATATGGTATAGCCTAATGGAGGAGGTAAATGAAGAAAACCATGGTTCCTTGTCAGGCTAGGCTGAGGAGAAGGCATGTACATACAATCTGTGGATATTTTCTTGTTATATTTTCAACTCTATGTTAGGTCGTTATCTCCAAATATGACATTTGATGTATCTAGTGAGTTTTGAACTATCTTGAGCAATTTCATATGTAGCACAACACTCACAAACATTTACTAGCTGAAGGTGTCATTTATTAGCCATTTTTCCTCTTTAGGTTCACATGTACTTCATCATGCATGAATAGAGGTCTGTGATTGTGTATATTTAGTAGCTAAATCACTGCCTTGCAGTTTTACCAAAAGTTGATGGGAAATAGAAAGTCATTCTGCTATATCTAAGACACAGTAGCATCTTTCCTTATTCACCAGTCTCTCCTGCCCAGGACAGTTTGCTTTGGCTAAATGTTGAGGTGTGGGATGTGGTCCTAACATGATCACCACTGAAATCAAGGCATCACAAGGAACTAAACAGCAACACAGACTGGAACGTGTTTAATTTGTTGTTGATAAGCCCAGAGGGTGTTATTTGTAGACTGTGTAAACTTGCAGTGTAAGACAAGGTTATTTCCTTGATGAATGCTACGCGTATTCCTGCTCTTTCTGTTAGGGTTTTGCTGCTGTTGATCTTTTAAGACATATTTCATACACATTGACAGAATTTCTGTTGAGAAAGAATTCACAGGTGCCAGACTCACAGAAGCTCAGAGAAGCATCTGTTTAGCTTTATTTTTTATTCTGTGAATGTCTTCTTTTCTTCTGTCTAGCATCAGGCCATTCCAACAAAAGGGAAATCAAGTAGACTAAAATACTAGCTGACAGGTGATTTTTTTTCACCTCAGGGACGATTTTAATACGCCAGTTGATTTTTTTCTCTGAGAGCAAAGTAGACAGAGACACTCTAATTCCTATGGTAGTAATAAAATAAATACTTGTGTAATTGAATAACTGAAAACAATGAGACATATATAGGAAGACAGATAAGAAAGTTTGCCTTTAGAAGTCAGTAGATGAAGAAAAATTTGGCCTGAGCCTGTTTTGCAAACTTCACATTTGATTATCTATGAGTGAAGTTAACTTTAGTACACAAGCCATGGAGTCCAAATTTTTACCCTATCACTGAATCTGATGCAACAGGGTGATACAGGGCAAGGTTTCTCTGACTTAGGCACAAGACGTGACTGTAGCACCTACTTCCAAGACAACAGTTTGCTGGTACCTTCTCAAAACTGGGCCTTAACCCCATCCCCTGCAGGCTTTCCACCTTCAATACTGCACACTTCTGGCTCCAAAAGCCATAGTCTCCTGGTTCTCTACTGTCATCCACGTTTATCCTTCTCATAGCACCCTCCCCTCAAACTGGCACCCAGGTGTGGCTCCCTACCAAAAGCATACAACTCCTCACTAACCCGTCTCCTGTCTTACCTGCTTCAGCTTTATCCTGAGCTGAAGTGTAATATAGTGAGTGGTAGATTTCAAACCATCCTCTGAGGCAAGTAGCAGTTGTAGTGTTTGACTGTACAGGTTTTCACAAGCATTACAAGTCATTTTACTATATTGCTCTTGTATAAGATCTGTATCCATGTGGAGCCCAAAGCTTCTGGGGCTTTCTGATGCGTGGTTTGTTGTGCTATAAATTTTCTGTTTTGAGATGGTTTGTGACCACCAGTTACTGGTTACTCTAGGGTGGCATGAGATGGGACGTGCCCAAAGCTTTTCCTGTTATGTTACGTGGCCTTGGTTATTAGACCTCTCACTGCTGGGAATCTGTAGCAGTGTACTCATTGCAGACAACCTTTCTTATCTTTCCCTTATGCCTCCTGGCTCTATATTGCCCTGGGGCTCTTTGCGCATTTCTGTCAAGGCACCCCAGGTCCTGAATAAAAAAAAAAAAAGGAATTAGTTCTACTGTGTGACTCTTTTTCCCTGAAGGTGACCAAAGGCTCCGTAGCACCAAAGGCTTAGCTACTGTACAGGGACTTTACAGTGGAATAAATTTCACCTCATGGTCCTTCACTGGGCAGCAGTCAACAGCTCAAGCCTTCATAGCTGCCTTGGATGATTTCTGTTTATATATATTTGCACCTCCTGTGCTGCTTACAGCACAGATCAGATAAACAGGCTTTACTATAATTACCACTTTTATCATCCAACACTATCAATGACTAATATGAAGTAGATGGGATAAAAAGAAGAAGGATCGCTAATATTGTAATGATATCTGCCCTGGTGAGGAACAACTGAGGAATGCCCATCAGTTGAGTGTTCCTCAAATTTATCATCACATCAGTTATATCAATTGCCAGCTATGGTTCCTAAATGATTGTTAAAAGTAAGAACTGGGAGGTACATCAAGACAGCAGACTGTGTATTTTTCCAAATCTTATGGCAGCTTTACATTGAGCAACTAGATTTCATTCAGACAAATTTATTGTAAATTGTTTATTAAAGTACATGTTAATGTTTCTGTGGCAGAGAGTCTTTCATATTTCATAAAAATAATAGATAAATATATTTGATTATTAAGTTTTCAGCTTTGGGACAGTTCTCTTTCCCACAGCTCTGAGCAACTCTGCATATATAGGATCTACTGAACCTTTCAAACCTTGGCTGGTTTACACAATCTGATGTGTAATAAAGACTGTATCATTCTTTTGTTAAACAATATAAGCAACATGTGCTTGAGGTCATCACCTTTTCTCTAATTGACTGCAATTTGAAGAAAAAACGGTGTGGGTTCGGTACCTTTTTTTAGTGTTTGATCTAGCGAAGTGCTGAGCACTCTTTACAGTGACTTTCCTGGGAGAGACATGTCCAGGATTTAGATGGGGATCTAGATTAGCATATTTCAGGATATAACTATGAAATTGCACATTATTTATTTTTAAGAGCACTAGGGAAAAGCACAATTGTTCTAAATGTAGATAAAATAAAGGAAGTGCGTTTACAGAGAGCTTCGTTCCTGCACAGTACTATTGCTACTGAGCATACGTAATACGATTTCTGTGGTTTAAAGTATTGATATGTGTTCTGTCAGGGTTGTCATGTTTGACACTGTTAATATTATTTCAAGTACAGCTATGGGGATTGGTTTTTATTTGTATAACTGTAAAATAAAGAAGGGTGTTTTTTTTCATTTTTTCTGCTATATTCTGTTCCTTATTCCTTTGTAACACAGTTGTGATAATATTTTTCAATGATGTGCTAATTGTTAGGATATGTGGAAGGAGAGTGTCTGCTCCTTTAAGGTGTCTGGTCAAGGACTTTCTCAACACAAAAGGGGATATTAAGAAAAGGAGGAAGCCATAAACAAGAACGAGACACAAACTTGACCGACAAATGATGGGGGAAGCAGTGATGAGGAACCAAAACTGATCAGTCGCACTAACTGGTAAGGATATGTTAGTGTAGGAATATTTGTTCCAGTAAGATTATGTGATCAAGGACCTTGTGAAATGGGATACAAAGGAAAAGGGGCAAGCGATAAAGTATATGGAGACACAAACCTGACAGGCAAATCATAATGGAGACAAAGACAAGAAGCTAACCTCATCACTCACACTCACTGAACAGCTATCAAGAAACTTCAGGCAAATGGGACTTTGCGACTGATAAGGATGCAGACCTGAGGGTCTGGGATGTTGGAGGGGGTTTGGTGGGACTGTACAAACAAGTGAGGCAATGGGCAGGGGAGGAAGAGAGGAGGAATAGCCAGAAAAGGGGCCGGTCGCGTGTGAACCGTGGCGGGTCTGTTCGCTTGCCTGGCTGAGCCCTGTGCCTGATTGCCACAGTCTGTCCTAACTCCCCATTAAATCTTCTCTTAATGACCTGTGCGTAATCTCACTCTCTGTCCTGTGCGTGTGAGTGCTGCAAGGACTCGGTTCCAACTGCTGGGGGACCATCGAGAGAGGAGTGGGTGCCATCTGTGGGAGCTGGACC